TTCAAGTATGCGCACATCTACATCGATCGAGCAATGGGTTGTCGCTGCGTCGGGCCGCAGCACCGTCGTCCCGTGGTTCTTCTCCCTGCTGCACCGACCCGCGTCACCGTTGTGTCGCCCCTGCGGGCTGTAGTGCCGCGGCCCGCGGTTCCCCGCCGCCCCGGGGCCGTCTGCTCCAGGCCGTCCCGTGGCTGCACCGACCCTCGCGCTGCCACTGCGTCGTCTCATCGAGCCGTAGCGAGCGTGCCACGCGGTCTACACCGCCGTCTCGAGACCGTTCCTGCGGTTGCTCCGACCTGAGTTTCGCCGCTACGTCGCCCCTTCGGGCCGTAGCGCCGCGGCCCGCGGTCCCCGCCACCGCCCCGAGGTCTTCCCGTTGTCGCCCCGACCTGCCCGCCGCCACTGCGTCGCCCCTTCGGGCCGTAGCTTCGCAGCACGCGGTCCATCACCGTCCCCGCGCATCAACTTCCCGTGGCATGCGCCGTGCCGCCTCCTTTGGCGCGGGAACGCCACCGTCCATGCCGGTTTTTGTCACACTGTCGGGTTTCTCGCCTACTTTGAGCATCGTCGCCGCGCTCCTAACCTAGTCGTCGCCGCCGCCGCTCTTCTTTGGCCGCCGCCGCCACCCTCGTAGCCGCCACCGCCACTCGTCTACCTCCTTCGTCTTCGTCCAGCACCAGCCCGTCGCCAGCGTCGCCATCATCTACCCCGACCACTTCGTCTACTTCGACAATCGCGGGCGACATCAGCCTGGCGCCGATTGGCACCACAACCGTCGTCGAGTCCTTCTCTGCTGGCCTCTCCGACTTCTCTGACATGGCATACAGCTCGTGCAGGTCCCAATCTACGCATGCCCGGTGCCGGCAACACCGAAGTGTGCCTTCGTCCACGACGTGTCCCCGAGCCTGGCAAGCCTGATGCGGCGCTTCGTCAACTTCGTATTCATCCGTCTATGCATGCCCGGTGCTAGCAACACTGTTGCGTGCCTTCATCTACGATGTGCCCCCAGGCTTGGCATCCCCTATGTGACGCGTCGTCAACAACTTCTTCTCCCTGGCGCACCACTACTTCGACACTACTGTGCCCATGACTAAATTTGCGCCTCCTTACGCCCGTGGCTCCACGGCGACTTCCTCGACACTGGCCACCCCGACTCGACATCGACTAGAACGTTCTTTGCACGGCTACCTCGACCACGGCTACACCACCCTACGCTCTCGGCTACCTCGACATCGGCACAAAGGATTATCATTCGCTTGAGCAACTCGTTGGCTTCCTCTACAGTCAACGCGTCCGCGACGCGACACTGTCCACGACGCTCCCGCTACGACTGTGGGGGATGTCAGCCCGTCGGCTGCTATTCTCTCCAGTATGCCGTTCGCGATGCTCCTGTTGTCTGCGACGCTACCGCTACGACTGCGGGGGTATGTTAGAGATATATTTGTGTTACTTGTATTTGATAGTCTAGGATTTGTAATCCGTCTCCTACCTTATCTCCAGAAGAGGCTTCTTACTCTCCAAGTCTTGTACCCAATATATACTCGCCCTCAAGGCTCAATAATACATTCAACTATTCCGCAACAATTCCCTCTCTTCCTTCTAACACACAGGACGGCAGACATTACGAATTTTCCTTTTGATGAATGTTAGCAGCCAATTTTTCAAATGAAAAACAGCGTCCACACACATAAGTTATCCTGAATTTTTCGTGCCGATGGATGCGCACGGTCCACTTGGGTTTCTTTGCTTCTAGGGTAGTGACCCTGGGTAGGACGTATAGATCAGGCCTATGACCCTACCTAGGTCTATATCATCATCAGGGGCACGTCGTGCTTTGCAGCGGCTTGGGTCGAGGTCGTGCCCACGTTGCCATTGCTCGGTGGACCGCCGGTAGTGCTCGTCTAGATTTTGCTAGGTAGTGTGGCCACTGTTTCTTATTTCCAATTTTTTTTCAAATTACTCAGACAGCTATGTCTTTCTTTTTTTGACAAGATACTCCGACAACTATCTTTGTTTCACAGGACGGCAGAGATTACGAATTTTCAATTTGATGAATGTTAGCAGCCAATTTTTCAACCGAAAAACAGCGTCCACACACATAAGTTATCCTGAATTTTTCAGGCCGATGGATGCGCACGGTCCACTTGTCTGTCATCGCTTGTCCGACATGAGCGGCAGCGGCCAGCATATGTACCACCAACCAAGCAGCGATATTCATGTGCAGACATAAATACGGACCACATCTTAATCTCCCATGCGATCCACGGGTGCACTATTATATAGCTCCTGAGAGCAACCACCAGGACAGCGAACGCAAAATATGACACACGGTGAACATGTCTACAGATACTTTATGTACTGTATATAGGGAATTTTATTCATGGATGGATGTACCCATAGACGTCCTACGTGATTGATGGAGGATTGCAGAATGGATCGTCCCCACCACGAGCACGAGGTCCCTAGCTGACGACGCGTCCTATCACAAGGGCCCGCGCACGTCCAAATCGCATGGCCCAATGGCCCATAGTGGCCAGAAACCGCTGATTTTCATTGGCGAAATGAAGGGACCTGACGCCAATGTAAAGTGATGCATATGGAACGGGGTACGTGGGGTAGTTTCGGCAGTCCCTACGGGAACGGGCTCGTGGCGCCGATTCTCTCTAGATTTCCTTCATGTAAAAAGTTTTAGCGAGAAATTTACACGACCGTGAGCCAATCACTTCATCCCGCAAATACTGTCCATAATAAACTTTCTGTAGATGTAGAGAGTGCATAATGTACTGCTATACAGCATGCTCTCTGAAGGCATTAACCAGTAATACTTTAATGCTTAAACTACTATACAAGTACTCCCTCCATTTTAAAATAGATGACTCAACTTTATACTAACTTTAGGACAAAGTTCGGTCATCTATTTTGGAACGGAGGGAGTAATACTATTTTTTTGCGAGACTATACAAGTACTCCCTCCGTTCCGATTTACTCGTTGTGGTTTTAGTTAAATTAACTAAAAGCACGAGTAAATCGGAACGGAGGAAGTAGTGTACTTAAGAGCATCCATGTTCAATCAAATACTCATTTTAACATGAAGAGACAAAAACTGATTTATTCTGTAAAGCATCTATTCATATTTGCATATCCAGAAATATAAGGAGGAAGCATTTCCTAAGATCTAGTTTGTTTTTAACACAGTACAGATACATACGCTCATACACACGTACACTCACCTCTATAAACACACGTGATCACGCCCTACCCCTGTGAGCAACTCTGAGAGACTGAGCCGGCATAACTTCTTGGCACTGGTCGCCGCGGACGCCTTCATAGTCGACGGGAACGTCTGCTCCCACTGAATGCATATCACCGAAAAGTCTGAAATAACTCCAAAAAATGCGAGCACTAGTACTTGAACTCTAGTATACTGTGGATATCACTGTACTCTGGACCATCCAACCACGGCTGGTTCGCCCTAAAATTTAGTTTTGATTAACAATTAGTTCAGCTATACATGAATTATCTGTATATAAACTAGATAGTAGTGAAAAGTTTCATTAATACAAAGACAAAAGTAACACTTTTATAGTTGAGCAAAATTTTGGTAAAGAAAGATGATGATTTCGTACTCCAATTTATTTATATTCTGTATATTTGTTCTGTCCTAGGTCAAACTTTGTAATAAAGTATATAATGGAAACTATGCATGTATTGTTGAACAAAGTTTTGGTAAAAGATAAATCCTGACAGGCATCTGTACATTTTTTCCGTGCCTTATATTTCGAAACTGGTAGATTCATGCTCTATAACACTTTAGCAAATGGTTTTGTATATCGTGATTAGTTAAATACAAGCTACTAGTGTTATATTTGTGTTCGTTGTTGTTCAAGCCAGCGCAAGTGGTGGCGCTTTGCCGATCTGCTTCTTTTCCGGCGTGCTGGTCCTATTGGGTCGAGGATGGTGACTTCCTTCGTGGACGGTCCGTGCGCATGACTAAGGTTATCACCGCTCCCTCCTGGAGCGGCGGCGACGGCGGCTGTGGCACGCCCTCATCCCACGCCGGCGATGTTTCTAGATTGGTTCTCCAGAGTGTTCGTTGTAATTCCCTTATCTTGTGGGGTGCGTTGTATCATTGCTTACTTTTAATACCGGGGACCTTTTAATAAATGCTTAGACACTTCTTAGAAACACTTTTTTAGCATAGTACAGACCCTACCCTTAGAGCATCTTCGAGAGACTGAGCCGGCATATCATCTTAAGATTTGCGAAGTCACCGTAGGCACCTCGTCGTCGACGGGAACGTCTCCTCCCACTGAAAGTACATCGTCGGAAATTTTGAAATAAATTCAGGAATAATGCGAGCACCAGGTCTTGAACCTTGGTGGGCTGGGGATATCATTATCCCTCTAATCATTCAACTACAGGTTGGTTCGCCACTTCTTAGAAACATTGATGCCTAATCAAGCACTCTTTCATCATAAAATAAAGCACCAATGCTATTCCGTGTAGCAAAAAAAAAAGCGACTCGTTTTGCTGAGCGTTTATCCAACCACTTGAACTGTACATGGTCTAAAATGCTCTATGAGAGATTTTATATGATGCGAGTTGTGTTAATATAAGTTGTAGTTATTAACTTATTATACGGGGATGGCATACACGTCCGATGCATGGTCCCTTGACCACAACAGCATCTCTAAGCGATCGATCTCCACCAACTTAATTTCGGGATCTGCAAATTTTTGGGATTTGTTAGTTGACATTTTTAGTACCAGCTAGCTATAGATAATATACGTGAAAAATTGTGCACCGCATAGTTCGGATCCCGTTGATTTGATGTACTCCGTAGCCACTCCCCCCACAGCTCCAACCCTAGCTACCTAACTTGCTATATATACGTGCACCAGCTCTACACAGGGACGCTCAGACTCCAACCACAGGCACAGCACACAAAACAAGTCTCGTGGTATAGAGAAACGGAGCTAAGGAAGCTAGCCAGCTCGACCATGGGTGGTGTTCGGCAGCAGCTCATGGCCGCCGTCCTCGTGGCGGTGGCGCTGATGGCCACGGCGGCGGAGGGGTACATCACTCAGAAGACGTGGGGCGCCATCCGCCGGGCGAACCGCGCCGGGCCGTTCGTCGGCCTCGTCGTGCCCAACACATACGAGATGGTCCCCGTGCTCGAGTCGCCCAGCTTCGTGGCCAGCAAGAGCATCCCTAACATGGACATCCAAGGTAAAGATGCTCTACTCAAATGGTACCTTCAGTCTAATCAGATCAAGCATGGAATGACACTGTTGGTATTACGTGATGGATGATCTTTTCTTAAGCTTGAAATGTCAAAGTTTGGTGGGTCAAAGAAATAAACATAATACTAAGAAACAAGCCTGTTCGTAATATCACTGTCAGAGTCAGAACACAGAACGATTATGCTTGAATTGATTAACAAGCCTGCTCATGTATAAGAACCGTCTGAACTATGTACTGTAGTGAATTTGAATGGTACGCAAAAGAAGTGACCGGACATGCTGAAACACTTATGCATGACCTGAAAGCACATGATGATGGAACGCGCGGGAGACCGGACGTTTCATGGACGACTTGCATGAAAGCACATGAAATGCATGTGCCTATTGACGGAGCTAACCAGGCACACATGAGCAAGCAGAGTGAACGTTTGTACGATCGAAGTGAAAAATAATACGTAAAAGTTAAAATCGGTCGTAACTACACCGTGTATGTCGTTGATAATTAAATACTACAGTAACATTATTGCATGATTTTTGCTTGAAGGGCGAAGGTTTCGCTTCGGAACCATCGAAGGCCAAAGCGTCGTCATGGTCATGACTGGACTGAGCATGGTAAGTCCGTACATACTACAGCATTATATTTTGTGTAGCAGTGTGTCTTACAAATACTCAGAACTTAACGTACTGTTTGCACACCATGGAATGGATGCAGCTCAACGCTGGTCTGACCACCCAGATGCTGCTGAGCCTGTTCCGGGTGAAGGGCATCGTCCACTGGGGCATCGCTGGCAACGCCAACGAGGACCTCCAGATCGGCGACGTCACCATCCCCGAATACTGGGCCCACGTCTCCCTCTGGAACTGGCAGGTAGTACAGATTTGGTATTAGAAAACGTGAACATGTCATGGTCGTCCAGGATTTTGATTTGTGGTGCTAACAAAATTTTGTGGATTGGGCGGCCAGCGGTTCGGCGACGGCAAGGATAACGAGCTGTCACTGGAGGCCGCCGGCGACTACACCCGGGAGTACGGCTTCCTCAACTTCTCCGACTACACCGTGGGGCAGAGCAACCCGGCGCTATCAGCCAACCAGCTCAACAGCATCTGGTACCAGCCGGAGGAGATCTTCCCCAAGTCCGGCGAGCCGGAGGAGCGGCAGCACGCGTTCTGGGTGCCCGCCAGCAAGCGGTACTACGAGCTGGCGAAGAAGCTGGAGGGCATGGAGCTGCCGGCGTGCGTGAACGCGACGACGTGCCTGCCCCGCGCGCCGCGGGTCACCCGGGTCAGCAAGGGCTGCAGCGCCAACGTGTTCCTGGACAACGCCGAGTACCGCCAGTTCCTCCGCAAGCAGTTCGGGTGCACCCCCGTGGAGATGGAGAGCGCCGCCGTGGCCCTCGTGGCGCACACGCAGGGGGTGCCGTTCCTCACCATCCGCTCGCTCTCCGACCTGGCCGGGGGAGGCTCCGCGCTCGGGAACGAGGCCAGCACCTTCCTCGACATCGCCGCGCAGAACGCCGTCACCGTCATGCTCAAGTTCGTGCCGCTGCTCGGCAAGAGCGGCAGCGAGATGGACGACGGCGCGGCCGCTGACATGTGAGCCAGTAGCCACTTGTCCATGCATGAATAATCGGGTGCCCGTGCGTGGTGTATTGTCTCTCTTTCCCTTTTTCCTTTTTTTCTTGGGCCGCGCTATCGGTAAGGCTTGCGAGCCCTAGCTCAAATCCCAGTTGGTGAGCCCACGAGTTGCAGAGATGAATAAATAAATCAAATAATCCGTCGTAATGCCGTTTGTCCGGATTCGCAATTGTGTGTAATTTAATCAGACGCACTCAATTGAATCACGCCACTGATGTACGTATGTGCTTACATCTACGTGATGCTAGTACAATGTTAGTACTCTCACCGTTTCTTTGAACTTGGCATATTAGTTTTGTCTTGAGTTAAAAAAAATAAGTCCATATTCATAAAAAAAATCAACATTCATAATATCAAATCAATATTATTAGATACATCATGAAATATATTCTTATACTATATTTATTTCGTATTGTAAATTTTGATTTTTTTTAATGTAATTTTGATAGAAAAAAACAAAGTTTGACTTATGACAGAATTAACATGCAAAGAAAAGGACACGGAGGGAGGAGTAGAAACCTCCACAGTTCTCGAAGAATGGTCAAGCACGAGTCCCAAAGCATATACTCCCTACGTTTCTAAATATAAATCTTTTTAGACATTTCAAATGGAATACGACATACAAATGTATATAGATATGTTTTAGAGTGTAGATTCATTCATTTTGCTCTGTATGTAGTCATTTGTTGAAATATCTAGAAAGACATATATTTGAGAACGGGCGAAGTATGTTATAAACACTGCGTATGGTGTATGGTGTATCAACCACTCGGAAATGGGCATGCCTACCATAAAGAGAGAGGTTCCATCATCATGCCCATTTGTTGGTCCGTTTAAAATGAAAGGACCGCTCGTGTTTTTCTGAAACAAGTGCATGCCGCCTCCGGTATTGCTCATTCTCGACAACATCAAACTCGAAGCAAAACTATGGGTCATAGCATGAGCAAAGAAGCTTACCATACCGGGAGAGTAATCCCTTTGTAGCGTCGGGCATGTAATAGCAACTCAACTCTCTTTTTATTTAACTTCTCGCAAAAAAAAACTCTCTTTTTATTTAAGTGGTAATATCACCGCGAGTCATAGAACTTGCGCTCGATGTTCAGTTTGATGCTAAAACTTTGAAAATACGAATTTGTGGTCATTCAACTTGCGTTCTAGTGCAAATACGGTCACTTCGCCCGTATTCAAATGAATCATGCGCTTCTGTGGCATGCCAGCATGTCTACGACCTATTGTCAGTGACTGGAACAGATCGGGCAACGTTTTTTTTTTTTTTTTGCAGAAGCACTGGTCATTCTATATTTAATTAAGCAAAAGCTGATCAATAACATGTTTGGGTTCCACTTGTCAGCATAAGGCGGCCAGAGAAATGAGAATAAAAAAAGTGCGCAAGGATTCAAACTCCTAAGCTCATATACACGCATGCGCTAGCCAACCACTGCACCAACTACAGATTCATGCCTATAGAGATATACACTTGGTTATATATTTGACGTAGGTTTTTTCTAGATTCCATTTTTTCCCGGGTCCTGCAGAAAATCATTTTTCGAAAAATATAGCCTTTTTGCGCCAAATTTTTTCAAATGAAATCCAAATAAAAGATCACGTCAAAATGTATAATGTTCAACCCATAAAAATGTATGAAACTTTTCTACGAGCAAGATTTTTTTAATTCCCTTTTCTTCTCGAAGGGACCGGAAAATTCGGGTTTCAAACTATCTTGGCAATTCCAGTTTTTTCGCCCAAAATTTTGAAACAAATTTTGAATTCAAATATTTTTAATGTCTAAATATATTTATTTTAGCAAACAATTTAAGTAAGTGCTTCCTATTACAGTGCTCCGCTCGACTACTCTCTTATAGAAGATTGCAAGTTCAATTCATTGTTGCAGCACCAAGACCATTTTTTCTAAATGAGCATGAACAACTTATAAATATATAGTATTTCACAATACAGGAATAGAACCATAGACCCTACCACTAAGCTAACTGCGTGGTTCTGATATTGTATGCGGACGAAAGATATTATCTTTGACATAGTTTCTATCATTTAAATTCAAAAAAATTGGGCGATCACAAACTTTCAGGGGGACCACCAAAATTTTAGGTGACCGACTGGTTATCCGAATTTCGGTCCGGCAAAAAAAAAACTGAATACGAGTAGTTGTCGTGGCCAAAATATAAAATTCAGTGTTTCTCTATGCAGAGATAGTACTTGGTGTAATGGTTAGCGCCTGCTGTTCCAATCCTGAGGTTGAGATGAGAGGTCGATTCTATTTGCACCCTTTTTTTTCTGCAAAATTATCTGTACGCCCGATGGTTAACCCGTTGTTAATATCTCACTGACTAGTGTCCTACCCCTAAATTACCCTGGTAGACATGTGGGCCTGGACAAACTTCAGTGTAAATAAATAAACAAATTTTAGTTGTATATTTCAGCGTCAACTAGCACTAATGGGACCGGTGTACGTTTGAGTGTTTAATTTGCAGGTCGTGGGTTCAAACCCCACCTGCCTAACTCCCTTTTTTCGTTACATTTGATATCTTTTGTGCATAGTTAAATAAATTGTGAGGGTGTTTTCTGCAAAAAAAAATGTGCAAGGGTCACCCAACGTCTTGTGCACCCCCAACCACTGACAAGTGGACCTTCGCCAGCCTGCACGCCATGTGGGCATGCCATACGGCTGGGTACGAGAGGAAGTACCGTATTTGCACAAGAATGCAAGTTGGATGATCGCAAATCCGTATTTTTGAAGTTTTAGCACCAAACTAAACATCAATCGTAAGTTTTATGACTACCGATGATATTACCTCTTTATTTAATGGATGAGGCAAGTCTTTTGCTTCCATTTCAAAAAAAAAACAGCGCATACTTTTTGTAATCACAACATGCTTCGATCACCATCCACTTGCTCTCCGACTTGGCCGGGTGAGGCACCGCGCTCGGGAACGAGGCCAACACCTTCCTCGACATCGCCGCGCAGAACGCCGTCACCGTCATGCTCAAGTTCGTGCCGCTGCTCGGCAAGAGCGGCAGCGAGATGGACGATGGCGCGGCCGCGGACATGTGAGCCAGCAGCCACTTGTCCATGCATGAATAATCAGATGCCCGTGCGTGCTGTATCGTCTCGCTTTCCCGTCCATCCTCCTTTTTTTAAAAAAAAATACAAGTTTCTAGTATGAGAACATCATTAATTTTTGCCTTGATTAATCTTGGTGACTTTGTATAGATACAAAATATATTTTTGATAGTGACCTTGTATAGGGAATGAAGGAAGTACAGATCAATTAGATTGACAGGGGAATTAATTGGTGGGGGTAACTGAAAAGATAAAAAGAAAATAATACGATTCCAAAGAAGAGGATAGGTCTGCACAGTAAATAAAAAAGAAAATGTTGATGCGTCATGTTGGTGACATGGAGGACTGCATATCGAGAGAATTGCTAATAGAGAGATCAACTTCTTAATAATGTAAGATTAGTTTACTTTTTAGTGATCTGTCGCGTTGGACTTGAGGACATCCGGCACATTTTATTCAGCTGTTATCAAGCTATGGATGTGTGGACAGAGCTGGGACTACATAATACTCCCTTCGTTCGAAAATACTTGTCGGAGAAATAAATGTATGTAAATGTATTTTAGTTCTAGATACATTCATTCTTATCCATTTCTTCGACAAGTATTTCTAGACGGAGGAAATATCATAAATGATGCATTGAAAGAGCATTGAAAGAGGATCGGTCGGGTTCCATGACAATGGAGATACTGGCTAGGAATCGTTCAATTTTGGGTTAATTATCCTTTTGCCCTCAGTGGTGTCCATGTGCTCAGTTTTGCCCTCAGATGCGAATTGTGCTCAGTTTTGCCCCTAGTCCGTGCGCACCGACTCGTTCCGTGAACTCTGCCGTCTCCGTCAGGTCAACCTTTTGACTCGGCCCTTACAGGTGGGACCAGGCGGCAGAAACGGCCAATTTTATTCAGACCGTTGCACGCGTGGCTTGTGGGACCCAGCAAAGAGCCGTTGAGCAGAGAGCCGTTGGCGGGTGTGCTATATAAGCGGGCGACAGCGGTGGTGACCACGTCGACAGAGAGCACGGCGGTGACCACGGCGAGAGAGAGAGCACGGCGGCGGGAAGCTAGCTGTGGAGGGCGCGGCGGTGGGAAGCTGGCAGTGGAGGGCGCGGCGGCGTTGAGATCCCCTTCGGCTCCGAGCTCCATGTCTTCCTCAAGCTCCCGCGCCACCTCGCGGATGCAGAGCCGGGCGCGTGTGGACATGCCTGTCTTCGTCTGTCCGCGGTGCCGGGCGGGCGTTGATCGAAGGGTTTCTCAGACACCGAGGAACCAGAATCGTCCGTTCTACGTGTGCAGCGAGAATGGGGTAAGAATCGGGGCAATTGCACCATTTTCGTCGTCGGGATGTTTGAGCAATGGGTTGATCTGTTTAGTGTTCATGCAGGTGACATGCTTCTTTCTTTGGGTCGATGCTCTGGCCAAGACTCTGATGAATGAACTGCAAGAAGAGCATGAAGAATGGTTGCGCATGTTGCCACGAACGGCAGTGGCCACACCACGAGCTCCGGAAGAAGAGATGGATGGCGAAGCACGCACTGACAGAGAGCTAGCTATTGAGCTTAGGATGTTGAAGAAGAAGGTTAGGAAGCTTGAAGATCAAGCACTACCAATACCCATTTGCAAATACTTTTGGGCATTTGTAGGTATGGTAATCGCACTGGTTGTAATGTTGAAAATGTATGGAAAGGCATGAATTATGAAGGAATTTGTAATCTTGAAATTGTTTGAGAAATTCACCTAGTTTAAATGTTGGTTAAACTTGTTTAAATGTTGAAACAAAAAGAGAAGAAGTGACCAACATTTAAATATGTTGGAAAAAAAGAGAAGAAATTAGGAATTCAGAAACTTTTGATCAATGAAATGCAGCTCTCTGCTCTGCCTTTCTGTCCA